ATAATGTTGATGTACATGAGGTGTAAAACTCATCTAGCAAAGAGATTTCCCCAATGCGTGTGTGTGTGTATGTGTGTGAGAGAGAGTGAGAGAGCGAGAGAGAGCGCTGTAGCCATGCGCAGACCTGGAGTGGCCTTTATTTCAACACCTCTAAGAAGTCAGTACAACTTAACGGCCCGTTGGGGCTCCATAGGAAGAGCACTCAGCTGGAATTATAACTATGTACACTCAGGAATGGACTCTGCTTCCTCTAATTCATTTCCCACCTGTGGAGTGCGAAGGTCCAACATGTTCTCCGCTGGGGAACTCAAAACATTAAGAATTTCTCCAGAGACTCAATAATGAATAGTACAGGCTTGGAGAGCAACCTGCTGGCTTCCTAATGGACAAGACCTGAGAGAAAACAGCTGGGTTGTAAAGGCTGAGAACCTCTCACCCTTGACAATTGTACATGGCCTTTTTTTGGGGGGTTTTTTGGGCCCACCGCCATCAAAGGTCCTTGACTCACCTTCCGACAGGAAGTCTTTCGTCGTCTGCCTGATTCTCAAATCCCATAATTCCAAGTTCATTCTTTTCTTTTTGGTGAAGGCAAACGTTTTAAAACAGAAGATCACAAGTGAACAGTTAGTACAGCCTAGAAGAATGAAGCGATGTTTTATACAAGCAGTACATTTCAATGTGCATTATAAGATGCAGCAGATTAAAACCAAAGGCCTCATTCTCTTCTAAAAGATGGAAAAAAACAAGCAAGAGACTTGTAGCTGAATCCACGTCTAGGCTTAAAGCACAAAACACACATACGTACGTGTGCACTTGACCTCTAATCCACATTACTGTATCGGACGTATTACACCAAACCACTCAGGATTTAACCTGCTTAACAAGCTTGGGTTTTTTTTCCCCCCTCATTTATTTATTTATTTATTTTCTGCATGGATGCTTGACTTGAGAAAAGCTCCTGGGATATTTAGTAGGAGAGGTAGGGGATTTACTGGGAGAGGCTTTATCTTTATTAAAAAAAAAAAAAAAACCTGATGTAAATCACTCTCTTAAAAAATCTCCTAACAGATGCTTTTTTCCTCTTCTGTTTTCTGGCAGCTGCAAAGCCCTTTCAGCATGGGATTGAGAGCACAGTGCCACCTGTGTCGACAGGGAACATCGAAACTAATCTGGTTGTATACAAAAAGAGTTCAGGGTGATCTTACAAATAAATCTACTGACCAGATTGCAGTCTGTGTACCGGTAGAAAGACTTGTAGTGTTGAGATTGAACAGGAGGGATTTTTCTTTTCTTAATCCAAGTTCAGAGTGACCTGGCCCATGAATGCAGATCATGTACTTAATTAGGCATAGTAACTCAATCCCGCACTTCCGAGCTTGGGATGTCTTCCAGGTTGGATCCAAATACAGTACATTATACATAATACTGTAACCGGTTCATAAGTGTGGTAGTCTTAGAAATTCACGTCAAATGCTAATAAAAACAAAGAGGAGTGATTTTGTAAATGTACTTTGACTTGTATTTAAACAACAACAACAACAACAACAACAAAAACATACAAAGACAAGGTATTTGATGTTTACCTAATCATCTGCATAGTTTTTTTTAAGATAAACTTTTTTTTAACTTATGCATGCAACACGTTCTAACACGTTGTGACGGGGGCAATTTAGGACTAATAGCGATGCGACAAGTTGAAAGAAAATGATGTGAAACAAGTGAGGCAGTTGTCTAATCATAGTATTTAAGGAGCATCCAAAAAAGGCCCAGTCCTAGTTTACTTTGGTAAGCCTTTGTCATTCAGCACCATTCGCCGCTACATCCACAGACGCAAGTTAAGGCTTTACTATGCGAAGGAGAAGCCATACATCTACACTGTCCAGAAGCGCCGCCGACTTCTCTGGGCTCGGTCTCATCTGAGATGGACAGTAGCACAGTGGAATCTTGTTTTGTGGTCCAACAAGTCAACATTTCAAATATTTTTTTGGACAAAACTGTCGTTGTGTTCTCCGAGCCAAAAAGGGAAAAGACCACACAAGCTGTGATCAGCATCTGGTCAAAAAGCCAGCGTCTGTCACGGTATGGGGGCGTGTCAGTGCCCATGGCATGGGTAACTTGCCCATCTGTGAGGGCATCGTTAATGCAGAAAGATATGTACACTTTATAGAGCAACATATGCTGCCATCCAGAGCAGCACAACGCCAAACCACATTCTGCCCCGATTACATGTGCATGGTTGCGTAAGCAGAGAGTGCGGGAGCTAGCGTGGCCTGCCTGCAGTCCTGACCCGTCTCCGATTGAGAATGTGTGGCACATTATGAAGCACAAAATAAGCCAACAAAGGCCCCGTACAGTTGCGCAGCTGAAGAAATGCATAATGGATGAATGGTGGAAAATTCCAGTCGCTAAACTTAACCAACTGGTGTCTTCACTCAGTGTCCAAATGCTTAATGAGTGTTATTAAAAGGAAAAGGTGATGTTACATCGTGGTGAACAGTCGACCGTCCCAACTTTTTTGGAGTGTGCTGCAGTCATCAGATTTGAAATGAGTGTATACGTTCAAAAAGAAATTAAATTTGCAAAGTAAAATATCAAATAATGTGTTAATAATGTGTTTTTGATATAATACAGGGTGAACTTAATGTTCATATGACTTGAAGTAAAAAAATTGATCTCGTTTATCGATCTTTTGTGAAAGTTGTGTATAAACGTCCGCGTAAGACAAGATGTTGATCACCTGTAACATGTAAAGCATGTTCCCGACACAGCTCATTAGCATGTAGTGACGCCCACAAAACTCCTTAAAAGGTCAAGTGCACAGACACTTGTGAGCACAAAATGACTGATCAAGGCTGAAAGGCAAAAGTGGAAATGATTTTGATTCACTTCTATGCCAATAACAATATTTAATAATATATATTTTACATATTTATTTATTTATATGATTTAATAATATACTACTAATAAAAAAAAAGCAAGCTCTAAATCTTCTAAATTTACAGCGCTGCGCAGACAGATTCTACAGTGCCATTTCATTTGTTATTAACTGGGCCATTCCATCACAAATGGTCCAATACAGGTTGCTTGGCCATTTTCAATTTTCAAATTTTTTTTTTATTGATTACCTCTATGTATTGGCATTGCAAAATCCATCCATTTTCTGTACTGCTCATTCAATTCAATTCAGTTTTATTTGTATAGCGCTTTTTACAATAGACATTGTTTCAAAGCAGCTTTACAGAAACACGGTATACAGATATTAAAGGTGTGAATTTATCCCAACTGAGCAAGCCACTGAGTGGCGACGGTGGCAATGAAAAACTCCCTAAGATGTTTTAAGAAGAAGCAACCTCGAGAGGAACCAGACTTAGAAGGGAACCCATCCTCATCTGAGTAACAACAGATAGTGTGAAAAAGTTAATTATGTGGTCCCAGCCGTCTGGAATTAGAGAAGATTTGAGCTCCATCCAGAGGCTGAAAGCATCTGGATCTCTAGTATCTCCATAAATTCGTGTGTGGCTCGGCAAAAGGAGAGAGAGAGAAAAAAAAATATTATGACTGCGAAGTAGTAAAATAGAATCTAGTCAGGGTAGGCTTGAGTAAACAAATACGTTTTAAGCCTAGACTTAAACACTGAGACTGTGTCTGAGTCCCGAACACTAATAAGAAGACTGTTCCATAACTGTGGGGATCTATAAGCGAAGGCTCTTCCCCCTGCTGTAGCCTCCACTATTCGAGGTACCGTCAAATAGCCTGCATCTTTTGATCTAAGTAGGCGTGGAGGATCATATAAAACCAGAAGGTCGCTTAGATATTGTGGTGTGAGACCGTGTAGTGCTTTATATGTAAATAAAAGTATTTTATAGTTTATGTGAGATTTTACTGGGAGCCAGTGCAGTGTTGATAATATTGGTGTGATATGGTCGTATCTTCTAGTTCTAGTAAGGACTCTAGCAGCTGCATTCTGGACTAACTGGAGTTTATTTATATTCTTACTGGAACATCCAGACAGTAAGGCGTTACAGTAATCTAATCTAGAGCTGACGAATGCATGAACCAGTATTTCTGAATCATGTAGTGACAATATGTTTCTTATCTTAGAAATATTTCTGAGATGAAAGAAGGCTATCCTATAATATTATCTACATGAGCATCAAATGATAGGCTGGAGTCAATAATCACTCCGAGGTCTTTAACTGCTGTACATGATGAAACAGAAAGACCATCCAGAGTAACCATGTGATCAGAATGATTACTTCTAGCTACACGTGGGCCTAATAAAAGTATTTCTGTTTTATCAGAATTAAGTAAAAGGAAGTTAGTTAACATCCAATGTCTAATGTCCTTTACACAATCCTCAACTTTACTAAGCTTCTGTCTGTCCTCTGGCTTCGCTGAAACATACAGCTGTGTATCATCAACATAACAGTGGAAGCTAATTCCATGTTTATGAATAATTTGTCCTAGGGGTAGCATATATAAAGTAAAAAGCAGCGGGCCTAAAACAGGACTCTGTGGAACTCCAAAAGTAACCTCAGTATGCATGGAGAAATCACCATTTACATCTACGAACTGATAACGATCGGTCAGATAAGACCTGGGCCAGGAGAGGACTGTTCCCGTCATACCAACAACATTTTCTAATCTATCAAGGAGAATAGAGTGATCTACAGTATCAAAAGCTGCATTAAGGTCCAGTAACACAAGCAGCGAGACACAACCCTGATCAGAGGTCAGTAGCGCATCCTCTTCAGGGTCACAGGGAAACCTGGAGCCTATCCCTGGAGCCTATCCCTATCCCAGGCACAAGGCGGGGTACACCCTGGACTGGGTGCCAGTCCATTGCAGGGCACAATCACATACACACTCACACAACCACTCATACACTACGGACACTTTGGACAAGCCTACCATGCATGTCTTTGGACTGGGGGAGGAAACCAGAGTACCTGGAGGAAACCTTTGCAGCACAGGGAGAACATGCAAACTCCGCACACACATGGCCCCAGTGGGAATCGAACCCTCGACCCTGGAGGTGTGAGGCGAATGTGCCAACCACTAAGCCACGGTGCGAGTTGCAAAATCACTATTTAAAAATATATTTTTTTTATTCTACTTGGTTTATCCAAGACGGCTATCTTTGTGTCATGACCACAACAGATTTTGTTTATACAGCTATTTATGGAAATCTCAATATCTCGGCTCAGGACGGGCCTAGCTCCTTGAAACAAAATCCGATTTCTACACAACATTACAAGCTACATATATAAACATCTTGCACATTCTTGTTTCTTAGACTTAGAACTTAAGTCCAAATGTAAAGCTCAATTTATAATGGGAAGGGTTTGAGACTTATTTTCTTTAGCGGGTACTTAAGCAAGTATAGTGTGCATGCAGAACATTTCAGGTTTGAGACTTCTTTTTTTATGGGGGCTTGAGTTCAATAAAAAAAATAATAAACTTCCCCTCACTTTCGGGTTGAATATCTCTGGTGGGGGACCAGATACAAACATTAATTTTTTACAAAAACAAGTCTATAGTAGCATTTTGCTGTAAAAATTGTGAGTTTGAGATCCCACTGGTTACAGAGCTAGGGCTAGAAGAAATCTGGGGAAAAGCTGACTTTATTCATGCATTTTGAGAAATGAACAGATGTAATATAAGCTTAACAAATAATACAAGTGCTCAATGCTCCCTGGGATAGGGTCCAGGTTTCCCCGTGACCCTGAAAAGATAAAGCAGTATAGAAGGTGGATGGATGGATGGATGGATGATCACACGCATATGTGTTCCTTCCCAAAACTGTTTCCACACAATAGTACAGAATGTGTCTGTATGCTGTAGCTTTACAATTTCCCTTCACTGGAATTAAGAAGCGTAAAACTGTTCCAGCGTGACAATACCCATGTGCACAAAGCGAACTCCATGAAGACATGGTTTGCCAAATTTGGAGTGGAAGATCTCGAGTGTCCTACACAGAGTCCTGACCTCCAAAAACACTGAACACCATTGGGATCAGATGGAACACTGACTGCACCCCAGGCCTCCACAGCCGATATCATTGCCGGACCTCACTAATGCTCTTGTAGCTGAATGAACACAAATCCCCACATCCACACTCCAAAATCTAACTGAAAACCTTCCCATAAGAATGAAGGTTGTTATGACTGCAAAGGCGGGACCAACACTCTCATGGTTTTAGAATGGACATGTATGGGTGTGATGGTCAGGTGTCCACCTACTTTTAGCCATATAGTGTAACTCTGCTTGCATTATATTCTGCATGCTAGATGCTAGATTAAACTTCGATAAACCTTCACTTTAGCCTCAACAGGACACCTTTGGTACAGTGTTGGCTTTTAGACTCTGAATATATCTTAGGACCAAGCTATCAAGACAATTTGAGCAAAATGATGAATTCTACCAAGAAAGCTACTGTAGCTACATAACTGTAGTTATGTGCTCCAAATGCAGTGCCAACTCCTAACTACATGATAGCATTCATTGGCTTAGCCTACAGTGGTGCTTGCAAGTTTGTGAACCGTTTATAATTTTCTATATGTCTTCATAAATATGATTTAAAACATCAGATTTTCACACTATAAGTCCTATAAGTAGATAAAGAGAAACCAACTAAACAAATGAGACAAAATATTATACTTGGTCATTTATTTATTGAAGAAAATGATCCAATATTATACATCTGCGAGTGGCAAAAGTATGTGAACCTTTGCTTTCAATATCTGGTTTGACCCAGTTGTGCGGCAGTAACTGCTAAACAGCTAAATGTATCCGGTAACTGTTGATCAGTCCTGCACATCGGAATTTTAGCCCATTCCTCCATAGAGAACAGATTAAACTCTGGGATGTTGGTGGGTTTCCTCAATGAACTGATTATTTCAGGTTCTTCCACAACATTTCTATTGGATTAAGGTCAGGACTATGACTTGGCCATTCCAAAACATTAACTTTATTCTTCTTAAACCATTCTTTGGTAGAACAGCTTGTGTGCTTAGGGTTGTTGTCTTACTGCATGACCCACTTTCTCTTGAGATTCAGCTCATGGACAGATGTCCTGATATTTTCCTTTACAATTCATAGGTATAATTCAAAACTCATTGCTCCATCAAAGATGGCAAGTCGTCCAGGCCCAAATGCAGCAAAACAGGCCCAAACAATGATACTACCACCAAATATTTTTCCAGTAGCGTTCCGGCTTGTCCACATGATTTTTAGCAAACTGCAGACAGGAAGCAATGTTCTTTTTGGAGAGCAGTTGTTTTCTAATTGCAACCCTGCCATGCACACCATGTTGTTCAGTGTTCTCCTGATGGTGGACTCATGAACATTAACATTAGTCAATGTGAGAGAGGCCATTACTTGCTTAGAAGTTACCCTGGGTTCCTTTGTGATCGTGTGGACTGTTACACGTCTTGTTCTTGTAGTGATCTTTATTGGTCTCCACTCCTGGTGAAGGTAACCATGGTCTTAAACTTCATCCAATTGTACACAATCTGTCTGACTGTGGATTAGTTGAGTCCAAACTCCTTACAGTTGGTTTTGTAACCTTCTCCAGCCTGATGACCATCAACAACTATTTTTCGGAGGTCCTCAGAAATCTCCTTTGTTCGTGCCATGATACACTTCCACAAACATGCGTTGTGAAGATCAGACTCCGATAGATCCCTGTACTTGAAATAAAACAGGGCGTTCACTCTCAACTGATTGTCATCCCATTGACTGAAAACACCTGCCTCTTATTTCACCTTCAAATGAACAACTAATCCTAGATGTTCACGTACTTTTGCCACTCACAGATGTAACGCTGGATCGTTTTCCTCAATACAAAAAAATATATAATATTTCATCTTGTATGTTTAATTGGGTTCTCTTGATCTATTTTTAGGACTTGTGTGAAAATCTGATGATGTTTTAAGTCATATTTATGAAGATATATAGAAAATTCTAAATGGTTCAGAAACTTTCAAGCACCACTGTATAGGTGTCATCCTTACTTATTTTAATAGATTATCTCCACCACTTACCACAGTTCTGATTCTACTTTTCCTCTTTTTTGTTTTCTCTTTCTTTTCTGCTAGTGAGATCTGGCCCCGTTTAAAGGGATTACTGGTATAGCGTTGTACGTTACCCATCTCAGGTTTTAAGAGTTCTACACTTTTGCTGGTAACAATACACACACATAAATAAGTATTAATGAATTAATTCAGTAATAAGTATGTCACCTAAACTTCTACAACCCACCGTGTATTTTCCTGGCTTAATATCTTCCTATTACATTTCTGTATTACTCTTCACACATTATACAGTTGATGATTTCTTGAGTCGCTTATCTATCTGAAAGGAACAATGGGTTAAAGAGGTACCACAGCCTGTTGGCGAAAGTATTAGCATTGTAGATATTGTACTAAATCTGTTTTAAGTATTAATCTTTTATGCAGCTCAGCGTGAATTTGCACGATTCCTATGTTTAGACTTTATACGACATAATAGCCGCAGACCATCCAGATTATAATATTATGATGAAGCAGGATACCTCTGCGACTTTATAATTAATTAACATTTCCAGGAGTTGTGAATACTACAGAACCCAAAGAACCCCCTAATCTAAATTAAAGAAAACAAAACTTTGACTGATCGTAGACATTTTCCTTGAATGGAAGAGTAGCCAGTCATGTTAAAGACTAATGAAGGAAACCCATACCGTTTGGCACTGGATTTCTAATCTTGGCAAATTTCAAATTATATGTTGTCACTGGAAGTATTTCTGCTGTAATTTGATGGGTCTGTTTCATAAAGATTAAAACTCATTTACCCTACTTTCCTTCAGCTGATGGATCTGTGTTCGCCATTGGTATGAAGTGATTAGAATCTTTTTAAAAGCAAGTCTAAACTCAATGATTTAAAACGATTGGCTGTTATTCCCACTAGCAAAGTGTCTACAAAGACGTTATGTGATTCACACAAAAAAGGTAAATGATGAACAAAGTATCATGTTTTCTTTTTAGGGCATCTGCCATTTCGATGTGCGCTCCCAGACGTGTGGCATCTGGCAGCATGAAATGGACTTATTAACCTTTTTGCACCTCAAAAATATTGCAACAACAAATATTTGCCCTCACAAGCATCAAGCCAGGGGAAAGGCATCTGTTCAGAGATGCTCAACGGCCTGGTCCTGCTCCACAGTGGTGGGTCCAAATTCCCGACAACAGCTGTACAGAGGTCGGGATTTAACAGAGAGTTCACTGCTGGAATCGCAGACAGCATGGTTTGATTAGTGACCCTACCTGCTTTGCATAATAAGATGGCAATTCGCAAAAAACAGCCTGAAGGTAACGAGATTTGATGCCGTTTAGTGCAGCTTCTTAAACATAATTTCATGTGATAATAACATAAAAGTGACTCTTAACTTTATTTATTTATATATATATATATTTTAAATATACCCTAATGCTGTCGAATTCTTCAATCTGACTGGTCAGAAGGTGTTGATTTAATTTTCTATAATAGCATCTCTGACAGTAATGCCCGCTGTAATGCGTCTTACAGCGCTCATCCTAATATGTTATCGTTTCTATAGTAATAACTAATTCACAGCGACTTGTATGGTGGAACCTCTACTTTATGTAATCTAAGGCTGATAATAAAGGAATTAAGTATGGTGAAGCTTTTTGAAAGGAAATGTTTATTTAAGATTTACAGAAGGAGCCTTCAGTGTTAGCGGTTTGTAAAAGACAGCGAGTTTTCTGCCAAAGGAAAATCTTCAGGGAAGAGGAATTGACTTTTATTTGAGAGAGAGAAAAAAGAGAGGGAACGGCTGTTTATAGTTGCTATAATGTATGTGATCGCAGGAAGTAATTTGCTTCATTAAATGTACCTTAAAAACGGAAAAAGAATGACATGTTTCTTTAAAAAATAAATGAATTAATTACTATCCATACAGACCATGCTGTTATTGGAAAATAAACTTCAGACGAATGGATGAATGAAATCACCCCATCATGTATAATTTTCCAATAACAGAGCTCCCCTTAGTATTTATTCCTTACTAATCC